GTTTTTTTTTTTTTCGCGAAATATCACGATGGAGATTACACAGGCTGTGACACACAGGATGACGCGTAACCGTACGCGAGATTGAAAATTTGTAGAGGAGGGGAGGAAACTTTTGATCGATATATCGTATACCACATATTACAGACACGGTCTGTAATTCGTGATTTTTTCTTTTTTTTTTTTTTTTTTTTTTTTTGCATCGTTAGGCTGCGAATTTTTACGCGTTCGTTGGAAATTTCAAGGTAGAAAAACGCGCGGAATGTGTAACGCCGTTGAAATTTATAAAACTGTTCGAATTACAGCGCTCGTTGTAACATTTGAGGAATGAAAGCAATCTTCTCCATTTAGGTTCTATTTCTCCGGTGGAATGCACGTTAAATTCGCACGGACGTCCGCAGTCTATTCATCACGTTCAGATTGAAAATTTGCAAGAGAGAACTTTGATCGATGCACAATGTACTTAGGATGGTCCATGATACGTGATTACCCTTCATCGTGTTCGAATTTTTTGCACGTGTTTCTTTTTTTAGAATATTTTATTAAAAAAAGTATGGAATTGTACCCATGTGAATTCTCAAATAGGGCTATTACAATCCTCAGTTGAAACGTATCTATCTATCAATCAATCATTGCTTAATATGATTTAAAATATTTGAAGTTCTTCACGTTACAATATATATGTACATATATTATATTACAACAAACGTATTACAAATGTACATGGATCGTCTATTCAGAGCTCGCGCAAAAGAAACGATCTTTGACATTCCTTTCAAGAGATGCAAACGAATTTATTACATAACTTGATGATGTATATAAGTTTGGGGAAGAAGATAGACGTGATATCTAGTGATTAATTGATGACTGAAAGTGTAAATTAAGATTAAAGATCAGCGAAGTAATGACAAAAATTGTTAGAAGACTCGTCGTCAAACTAACTTACGTCAGCAGTTAATTATCTAACATGTCCATGACCTTATTTCATGAATTATAAATCATTCTTTACACATATACCGACTGTTGCCTATTTATCTTTGACTAAACTATGCTCTGCAACAATCTCTATGAATTTCATTACAAGTGAAAATAACAAAAATATTTTACGTAAAGTGATCGGTTAAAGTGCTTCAAGTTACAATGTTGCAAGCAAATATTGAACTCATTGTCAGTCTTCGCGTTACGTGCGAAGTATGCAGTTTCTACTTTAGGATATGCGAAGGAAATCGTATTTATGTGCTTTATTTCTACCGTAGTTGAGCATAATTGCTTCGCTGCTTAAATTCCCAGTGATATCGCGCGTTGTGTGTACGTTGATAGGGAATCAACACCGACATGGCACGGAATTTCTTGAGAATTTTACCTGGTATCAGCAACTAAGTTATTCATTCGTTGCCTCCTATCTTTCGTTATCCCGTGATAACAAATTTGTTCCCACGCGTGTATTTCACGCTGCGCTCGATGTCGGCATTATAGCTTTATAACAAAGGCGTTCTCAACAAAAGTTCGCGTAACAGTTTTTCCCTACTTTCACTTGTAAATTAGATTTAGCCGCAGTTCGACCGGCAAAGCAGGGAACACTTTCTGTAAGATTTATTATTTTATATTATACGACATTAACCTTCTAATACCGGGGCAGCTTATTAAGGCCTCGATGCAGAAGTTTTACGAGACTCTTGAACTTTCAGTTAATTTATACGTAAATATAAAACTGTCTCATCTTTGTTGCGCATTCTCTTAAATAAATGCAGCAGGATAGAGTGGCTCGTTACGTCAATTTCGTTTTAACTTGCTTTTAATTGCTCTTAAATACACTTTGAAACCTCTAGGGAATACATACGGGCATGTAGGAGCGGAGTTTCAGGGGAGTTAATTTAATAGAAATATGTCAATGTTTCACGACGGTGGCTCACGGAAGTATTCTAATCATAAGTTTAATTAAACTTCCCGATCGATTCTCCGCTTATCATAGAAAACTTTAATGTGCTTGGACTGCGTCTTCGAACGTCTGTGAGAGCATTGAAAAATTTTTTTTTTAACGATGACTTCGGAGATTGAGCTCTCGGAACTTGGCGTACGAATTGTTTTCGTCGTTTTATCGAGCTTTGAATATCAGGCTCAAGCGACAAAAATTGATATCAACGTTTCGTTGTTTAGCTCCGATGTTTCAAGTTCCATAAAATGGTGAGAGAGAAAATTTCAATCTTCCTTTTACCGCCACGATGCATCTAGTCGTAAGAGGAAGATAATCTCGATATGAATTGCACGTGATTTCGAAAATAATACGATCAGAGAGAGATTTTATCCGAAAATTATTTCGAACGAAATAATCAAATGACTTCGAGAAAGATGTTCCTTCAAACGAACCAACGTAGAAATAAAATTACCCTTCCTCGGAACTAAAATTTCGTATCTCTCGCGAATATTTCATAGAACAAATGTTGTTTCATAAATATTTGAAACGTCGAAGTCAAGATCCTCCTTCTATACAGTGGTTGCAAAACTGTAATCGGAAATCGTCTCGATGAGGGTAAAATTATTCGTGTCATCCGGTGGCGCGACTTTTGGCCATGCAGATCGGCCGAGTACACCGCTGCGCGACGATCGGACTCGCCGGTGCTGAAAGTGTGCCGTGTTCAGGCCTGCAGATAGACGCGATCGAACGGAAATCCGATACGCACGCACTGAAGAAGATGACGCTTCGTTTGCCAGCCCCGGGCAGCTGGGATAATCGAAAGAACCGTGGGGCTGGAAAAGTGTGCCGAGGTGTGCCGGTTTGCTCGCATTATTCCAAGGAGTTGAGCCGATAATTGCCGGGGCCGTGGGATCGATCACGGGGGCCAGCCACGGTGTACACCCATGGTTATCGGAAAAAGTAGCGCCGGAGAATTATTTCACCCTTGAACCCCGTTCGAACCACTCGGCGTCTTTTCCGCGTTCGTACAACTCCTTGGCCTTCTTCCTTCTTCTTCTATTTTTCTCCTCCCCGCAGCCAGCTTTAATTGCCTCTTCTTGTTGAATTCTTCTTCAAGAAAGAAGAAGATTCCGGGTGTCGGCGTCCGGGTGAATTTTATTTGAAATAAAAGAGTAAAAAGAGGGTAAGGATCAATTGATTCGTTACATTGGGGAAAATGGGGATTTTATCTCACGTCCATGAATCTCGAAGCGAATGATTTTATATTTGTTCGAATCGACTCGTTGAAATAAAATAATTTCGAAACGAGAAGTTTTATATGACGACGATAAATCCTCTGCAACGTTTGAATTTACATTACGGTCTGTATCTGAATTTTGTATTTCCAAAACGCGATTGAGCAATATCTACGCGATAAAATCCGAAGCTACGGAAACAAAGTACAAAGTACAAGACGAAGGAATAAAGAACAATCAGTAACGAAATAATTTCGAGAACGATCGAGTTTGCTCGTCCGAGTATACAAACTAACGTGACATTATTTCAAGACGATGTGCGCCACTTGAATAATTATTTTTCAAATATTTCGTGGCCCTTCGAAGCTTGGTGGAAGAGAGAGAGAAAGAGAGAAAGCAACCTGGTAGAGCGCGTTTACTCAGTGATTTTTACGTTTCACCGCGATTTCCAGGCGATTGTTTGCTCGCGCAAATTCGTGGAATTCATGGGAACGGCCGAGCGAATTTCGCTGGAACCGATCGGATTCCCTTCGCTGAATAATGTATCATCATCGATTCGCCGGCAGACGGCGCGAAACAACGAAATTATTCGACGTTCGATATCCCTTGGTAATAACGCTAATAAAGATCTTGACGTGTGTGTTGCAGAGCCAGGGTGAAATCCGGCGTGAAGATTCTGGACGCGTCGTCGAGCAACCCTGACTGGATCGTCGACAGCAAGATCAACGCGAAGAACACGATTGCCACGTTCACCGCCAGGCGAAAAGAGAACGCATCGCGATTACCAAGCGCGTAAGTACGTCGACATTTTTGCGCGAGGTGTTTCGTTGCTATCGATGATTGTACTCTACTTGGATTACTGGTGATTTGAACCAACTCTTTACGGACGATAACTTGAATCATGTTTTATTTTAAGAAATTGTCATTGTCAATGGACATACATATATTTTAGCGACAACAAAACGTCTCTACAACGAATTCGGTTGGGATATATTTCGTGAGTCGTTATTGAGGATTGACAGGGGAATGAAAATTAATCACGTGTACTCTCATTTTATTACGGAACATTCCAGAAACGGCAAAATAATTTTTATCTACATACATACATACATTCGTGAATGCAATTACGTATCGCTCACGACGAACGACAGAACATTAAAGGAACGCCAACGCGGCACACCTTTATTTCCGTAAACATAAAACGATCGTTAAGTGGCAGATCATTCCCGAAGAATCTCCATTATCTGGTGGTTGACGCGCAGCGAACGGAATGTCGCGACGTACGACCGTTCCTTTCCCCCATTTCGGTATCGTCTCTTCGCGTCTCTTCTCCAATTCTAAATCCTCCTCGGCTTCCTCGTGTCCCGGGTGAAATATAAAAATCGACGTCTGCGTTAAGGAGACCGCCCCACACCGGTCTCTTGGAGAGTCTCGGCGAGCCTCTGCAACTACTGTTGTTTATTCTTCTCCTCGGACGAAGATTTGCTGTCGGAATCGTGGTCGCCCAGTCCATCAATCTGCCTCTTGTACAGCCTCCTTTGGCACCTTCTTTTCTGGACGTTGCTATCGTTGCAGTTATTCTTCCGTCTCTTCTGTTTATTGTCGTTCTCGTCACTGTCACTGCTGCTGCTGCTGCTGCTACTACTGCTGCTACTACTGCTGCTACTCTTGTCACTATCGTTACTATCGTTATCGTCGCCGTTACTGTTGTCGTTGCCATTGTCGTTATTGTTATCGTTATCGTTATCGCCGTTGCATCTCTTCTTCGTTTCTAGCTCGCACGGAGCGAGCTCTTCTTCTTCCTGTCTTCCTGCCAGCAACTCGTTTCGCGTCGTACCGCCGTCTCGTATTCCTCTCTTAGCCCTTCCTCTTTCCTCGCTGCTGTTGGATTCCTGGCTGGAAGAATCGGCAGACGGTTGCTTCGATTGCACTTCCGTCCCGTTCCGCGGCGGACTCGCCTCGGCTTGCGGATACGCCTCGGCGTCGAACACGGAGTACGCCAGCGTCGCCAACAGCGCGACGATTATTAACGCGTTGCAACGCATGTCGTGTTCTTGCTTGGACAACTCGCCGGTTAGAGTGAATATAGTACTTCGTGATATAGTACTGAACTCGTCGGCTCGTCTGCTCGCCTCGTCGGTCTTATATACCGCGAACGGACCGATGATAAACATGTGATTGAAAGAAATATGCTTGGCGAGAGAGAGAGAGAGAGAGAGAGAAAGCAGTGGTACTCATGGGATCACGCTGGACCGAGATTAATTCTTCATTGGATTATTGCGAGTTCCCCGAACGTGGAATATCACAAATTAGGTCGCTTCTTCCTCCAATGAACGAATCCCGCGCCGTTGTTTCTCGCAAACGCGGGTACAAAACACGGGGTATCGAAACGTTGAGAAAAATAATGAGCTCGTTTCTGCGAAGTTTACGTGACGTGTCCTTTCATGCATTTTGCATTAACCTCTTGTACCGCGTAATAAAGAGAAGGAAGCTATCGATACGGGTACGGAAGAGTCGGCTTTGATTTTTCTGATATTCAGAGGCAAATGATGGAGAGGCAGGCGGTTCTCTTTGTGAGATGAACCGAGCATGATACTCGTGGAATAAAAAACTGATATATATATATATATAGATATTTTTGCTTTTGCGATTAAATAACTCTTTGACGAAGGTACTTGGAAATTGTCGAGGTTGTTCCCTGTACGAAAGAACCGAATGACAAATGTAAAAGTACGCAACATGTGGATAGAAAAGTAAGAAACTTGTCCTTTGCTCGCTTGTTCAAACAATTCCTCGAAGGTAGTAGGAGAGAGACGGTCAAGAAAGTTATTTCCTGTACGAAGCAAACGAATGACAAGTATAAAAGAAATTTGCTCTCGTGTTTAAACTAGGAATCGTTCAAAGTAGTTTTCCTCGCATGAAAATATTTAACGTATCGATACGACGGGAGCGTATAAAACAAGCAAATATTAAAATATGAAAAAAAACCTCACGCGCACCGGCAGACTCTCTCTCCCGTTCAAAGAAATTTTTCAACGGACAAACATGAACCGAGTAGATGGTATAATAATAAACAAACGAATGAGTACGAAATAAATAAATATTAAATGTAGAAAGATCCAATATGTCGATACGATGAAAACTGCAGGTCCTTTGCTCTCGCGTGCAAATAATTTTTTCGATCGCGCGGAACGGGGAGAGTACCAGAAACTGTTCGAGAATGGCGATTCTCGAGGGGTAATAGGGTCCGGAAATATGCAAACGACACCACCATAAATGAATGGTAGAAAGTCGAGAGAGAAAGAGAGAGAGAGAGAGAGAGAGAGAGAGAGAGAGAGAGCGGGGTGAGAATCGGAAAAAGATTTTATCACAGTCGAGAATCGAGGCGCGAAACGTCCGTTTCAGAAATGGTCCGCCGGAAAAGTAAAAGTAGTGAGTATCACTGTACGTTAGACGACGTTATCGCCTCTAACCCTGCGACGCTCCGATTTGATTCTCACTCTTCCTCTTTCTCTCTCACACTCTTTGCTAAAGTAGACCTAATGTCGTGCTTTTAATCGTCGATCGTGTGCAAACGTCGAACGAGCAACGCCGAGAGACCTATGCTCTCGATAAAACGGCATTATCGCCGATGAAAATCAAAAATTCGTTTGACTCCGTTGACTCTTCTTCCATGCGTTTATCTTTCTGCCAATTTTTTCGCGGCTTTTCCTTCAATTGCGTTGTCGTTTTTCAACTATCGCGATCCATCGTTCCAATTTCGATTGTTTCTTTCCTCTTTTTCTGCAACAAATGATCGATAAATCCCATGTATTCTCTATACATGTACTTCGAGCCGACGTAATATAAATGTAAGACTGAATGAATTATTCGTATTGCACAGGATATTGCGATAAATACTCGCTCAATAATAATAAATAATTTTTGTACATTTATAGAAAATTTCTTGGACGCACGTAACATGCGAGAATATACGTACAAATTATTCAAAGTTCCGTTTCCTTAAATTTGCGTACGAATAATATTCGCGTGAGATATTATATTAGAGGTTTAGCCAAGTCACTAATTTCCACATCTCGGCTCCGAAACTTCCACTGATATTTACAAACCGTACTCGTCCTTTTCCTATTTATACCGGTGAATGTGCGTACGAGCCGACCGCGTAACCGTGACTCGTTCAGTCCATGTTAGAACGTTGTACGGTAAACACGTGCCTAAACGATTTGTGAAGAATATATATTAAATGTTTAATACAATATATATATATATATATATATATATATATATATATATATATATATTTTAAAAGGATTTTTTTAACCATACTCTGCAACCAACAAATTAAAAACCCGAGAATGGTCCCAATTCATCCGTTTCGCAAGTTTGCAGGCAAGTGATGCAATTAGTTTATTACTACATACCTAGATTGTAAATAACAGGAAAACAAGATCATAAATACGATATTTCGACTCGTCTCGGAATATCCATCGAGCGATTTCCCCGCGATTTCGCAATCCTCGTGAATCTCGATGGGCTCTCAAGATAGACGGTTTTTCTCCCTCAATTTGCTAAAACCGACGGGGGGGAGGGGGGTGGAGGGCCGTCACGGTTGTTTCGAGCGGTAAATCCTCGGATAGTCTGTTCCACCACGTTGTGATCCTTGTTCCTCCGCGATCGGGACGTAGACGGATGGGTCGTTAATGCGTGTTCGACGTGGATTCGTGAAACGCTCGCGACTTTGTAGCACAGGCGTGTTCCGCTCCGTGTTACGTAACACCGGAGCGACTTGTAACTGGAAATACCCTCGTCGCAAGTTTCTCGTCCCGTCTCGTTGATTGTTCGACGAAATCCTCGTTAGTTGCACTGGAGCTTGAGAAATACTCAGGGAAGGAAGGACGCTTTATCGTTTGCAACTTCGTCCGCGCCCGTTTCTCCAGTTAGGGGCTGTTTCGCTGGATGAACTTCCACGTTTTACTTCGTACTCGTTCGCAGCTCTTCTTCTGTCTCTGGTTTCGGCGAGTTTTATTCGCCGGCCGCGTCGTCGATGCTAGGAGTTTTGCCGTCGAGCTGGATTTGTCACCAGACCATGCACACAACGCGCGTAATATGCAAAAATATACGAAACATCGGAAATATTTAAAGTACGAGAGATATATGTCTTTATTTCGATTTTGGTTCTTTAATGGTATAATAACAACAAGAAGAAGAATTATTTATTTATTTGACAGTGGCATCGTTTGGTAAGTAAGAGAAGTGTGTAATATAGTAACATGGAAAATTTGCATAAAAATCCGCGATATATATTTATCGCGTACACATGCTAACAATCGTAACTATTGCGACGCATATTGGAAAATTCTGATAAATTTTGCTTTTAAAGCTTTTGGATTTCATATTACGCGGGGGGTGTGCGTGTGGCGGAGAGGAAATAACGGATTTACAATACAATAGCGCTGAAAAATAAAAGCGGCGAAAGGCTTCCGATTGAATAACTATTTATTGAAAGTTCTAATGAATTTCACTTTATTTTGTATTTTATATTACACGTTGAAACTGTAATAATGGGTTTGTAATAAAATAACTAGAAAAAGGGAGCCGTGAGAAGCGTTCGCAAGGTTTGCATTTAATATTTATTTATTGGGTAACAATAACAAATTTTACGTCGTTTTGTGATGATGAAAGGCAGTGAAAAACATTCGATTTGTATTAAATTTATTCGATATCGATTGTTTTATATTTGTATGGCATATATACTGAAATAGTGGGTTCGTGATAAAATTGCTAAGAAGAAGAATCTTTCGAAAGGTTTAATCTTTGATTTGTATTAAATATTCATTTGTTGAAATAAATCTTACTTCTTACTTTTATGTCTCGTATCATAAAATAGATTTGCATATATTGAAATAATCAGAAGAGCGGTGAAAAAGGCACTCGGGTAAAATGAAATATCTATTTATTAGAATATTCTAAAAGATTTATAGGGCGCACATAAAATGATAAATTTATAATGAAATAGCTAAAAAGTAAAAGCAGCGAAGAATATCAATTTGTATTAATATCAATAGATGTTGGAATACTTACGAGAGGCAGTCCTCAGCAGTTTCTCCGCCATTTTGATGCCAATACTCAAATGCTCCATTTGGCACGGTACATAGTAGTATATTTTATCTGGATACCGCGTTGCATTGTCGTCTTTTCGCTTCTTTACAAAGAAAGCTTCTTTTCTTCTTTCAAAAATACAGCGCAATAAAAGGGGAGACATGACGTTTTAAAGTTAGAGCATGAAGTCTTTCTTTATTTATGAACCCTCTGTGTTCTTTTTTTTTTTAACGCGCTGTTTTATTTGCGTTGAAAGTTGAAAATTAATTTGCACGTATCAATTTTTTACGCGTGGAAAATATTTGAAGACTGACCCGGTAGATTGAAAATTTTCATAGTATAGTGTTGTATAATATGTAGAATCGTACGTGTATTCATTTGGTTTATTAATGAAATACAACAGCAAAGCAATAAATATACGAAATAAAATATAGATATATGGATATCTGATTTGCAAATTGCACGATATTATAAAGAGTTGAAAATTCACGAATTTTAGGTTAACTTAGTAACTTTTAAAAATGTTCGAAATGACAAAATTAAACGTGGAAGAATCGGATATGAAAATCTTTCCGTGGGAGATGTCTGTGACTTTTGTAATATTCAAAACCGACAGTTTCGACAAACTATTTGTCAACATTTGTCAAAATTCCAAAAAAGAAAAAAAAACCGCCAACGTTTCATCATCATTTGAGTTAAATCGACGACATTTTAACAGCATCACTCAATATCTACCTCCCAACGCACGATCCCAAAAATAAAATTCTAAATCATCGTGTGCAGAAAGTATTCCTACACTCGATGAAATACTGTCGAATACTTCAAACTGCTACAACCTCGCGAAAAAAAAAAAATATCACCGAAAAATTCACCTGGGTCCGTTTTAAAGCGCGAAGCCTCTACTTTCAGCAGTGGATTGATTTTTCGAGTTCGTTTCATTCTGAGGATGTTTTCGCGTCGTTTGAAAGAGAGTCGAACATAGATACTTTCTCTCCCGAAAATTGTCCCTATAGACAGTGAAAAATTTTGTCCACCGCGATTTTGATGATCGAAGTCTCCTCTTGAAATTTGTTGTACAACTCTTGCTTGATCAGGTTGTGCAAGTTTGAGAGATCGACGGTATTTCGTTCGAGTGTACGACGAAAATATACTTGTGAATTCACCCCATTTTTCCAAATATGTCAAGCGCGAGAAACACAAACGATGAATCACTCTGCGTCGTGTGGTTGTAATTATTGCCGGAGAAACAATCAAAGTCCTGTCATCGAGGATCGCATCTTTGTCGTTTGCAGATCGGCGGAGGAGATTCTAACGATGCTTTTGGAGGCGAGCGAGGAGGGGGTGGAAGGGAATTGGGACGGTGGTCGAATCGTCTGGAGCGTACGTTACGCTTTCGATAACGACTCTCAGCTAAATGGGATGGATCAGCAGAGATTGCAGCAGAGACAGATGCAGCACCATCATCATCATCACGCCGAGAGGCGAAAGCTACAGGTCCGCCTCGAAATACAGAAAGACGACATACAAGCTGTGTTGCCCATATCCAAGGTAAGCTCTACCACGCTCACTGGTTGTTTATCTTTCGAACGTTTCCTTCCCGATAACGTCCAGATAATGAAGATTACTCGACGTCCACCGAGATACGCCCATTACGTACCACTCTCTTCAAAATACCACTCTGCTCAAGAAATCTTCCGGGCACCTTTCTATTTTTAATATACTTGACGTTTGTTTTAGACAGTCAAATTTTCAAATTGTACGTGCATTTCGCGATGTAATTTTATATTGTAGATTTTTCGTCATGTAATATTGTATATGTAGCATAGCTTGTCCTAGAACTTTCGAGCGGAGATATATGCTGACAGTGAGTGGGAAAAATATACTGTCGTAAATTACTTCGCTTTAAAGAGAAACTTCCATTGATTTATTTGCACTTGGGCTTCGGACCATTCTTTTACCAGGTTATATATTTTATATCTTGTAGTATCGATGTTTGTAGTAACGTGAAAGTATTATACATTTATAATTATTTTCAACTATTTTCGTTTCACGATATGTACATACGCGATTTTTAATCGTATAGAGTGCGTGATACATTCGAAAAAGAAGTAATTCGTAAGCCCGCGTAAGCACCTTCGATGAAGACGGGAGGAAACAATTTCCAGTTGGCTACGTGCACTCTTGGAAAGTGATCGCTTGATCTCTTTAGCCGTCCGATAATCCCTCAAATTACACGTCCCGGCACTCGGACGTATAAATTTTAATTTTTCCCTCTGATTTTACGACCGCGCTATATCGCTCTCATCCTTAACGCCTTAAGCCTCGCCGGGACCTAAAAACCTTGTCTTCACCCCCCGGAGGAGAAGGATGAAACTTTAAGCTGGGGGATTTTGAATCACTGTGCCTTGAAACCTTTTACCTACACCCAGTGCAGATTATTTAGAACCCGCGTGTACTCTCTATGATCAAACGTTGACGACGCTTTGCCCGTGGTTCGTGAGATCCGTGGTTCGATGACAGAAGTTGGTTGGAGAAGTTCGATTGCTTTCGATTCGATGTGGACGTCGTCGAACGACAGGCGGAAAAGGGTGGCGATATAAAGAGAGAGAGAGAGAGAGAGAGAGAGAGAGAAAGTTTCCTGCTGTAATTCCGAACGGTTGTCGAAGGACACAACCGGATACGTGCCCGACGATTTTCATTCCCGCCAACCGTGCCTGGAACGTGGAATTCCACGACGGAATCCGCGACGGAATTCCACGAGAGAATCTGCTTTGGTTGAAAAATAAAAGAATCACCTAGCTAGAGAAAGAGAGAGAGAGAGAGAGAGAGAGAGAGAGGGAGTTTTAGTCTTGTGCGCGAACCAATATCGCCACTATCCTCTCACGTGTCCCTCTCTTCGAAATCTCTTGAAAAAGAATCCGTTAAGTTAACCGATAACCGACTGGAAAAAGCAGCGATCGATGCGGACCTGTACGTGGTATATGGTTTCCGCGATCTTTTTTACCAAACCGTGGGCCACTATGTCGAAACGCCTATCTACGACTTTCCCTGAAGAACTTTGGACGAGGGATGACGGAAGATAATGTATCGTGTGAGAGCCTCTTACTGTGATAAGTTACGATGGTGCGGAGGCGAGGAGGATTTATATTTTTTCGTCGTGAAAAAATAAGTTGAAAATATAATAGCGCGGTTATAGTAAAAATTCTAATTCTAGCTATGGAAAACGTGATACGTTCTAAAATTGGTTCAATTGGGAAAGCGGATGTACATAGCAGATAATTTTGACAATTGTAGCTCTTCATCAATAGTACAATATGTACAATGATAAATTTTAGTATGACAGATGCCAAGTGCGATAAGAGCGATATATTTAAGCGATTTAGTTATTTTTCTCATTTTCTGAAGTACTTGAATTATTCTTCTTAAAAATAACGTAGTATGTAGAAAATTTTCCCTTCTGCAAGTCTTTCACAATGAAAAATGTATATTTGAAGAGTGATACTGTAATTATCAAGTGCTCAAAAGTTATAATTGCGTTTGTCTAGAATTAAAACTTTCACTACTGTGCAAAACTCTCATTTTTTTATGAAATTCTTCTCACTCGTTCGAGTATCTCGCGATTCTAACGATTCTGACGTACAGTGTGTAATTCATTATTTCAGTTATAACAAATATCACAATATTTCATTAATTTTGATACAGAATTTTAGAACTTTTGCAACAATATTGTACAAAAATACAATTTGTTTTCGATGATTTTAATTTCCTACAGATAAGCGATTTTACATAAGTGCTTCAGTTCAAAATTCGTACACGTCCAAACACTAACATTTATTGAAAATCCAGCCTTTACACAATTTCGCAACTCGTCTCTGGAACCTAATTTTTTTCAGCAAGCAAACAAAGTCGTTTCATTATTGCGAAACGAAATTTCATCACCGAGCAACTTGACTAACCTGAATTTGTCCAAAGTGTCCGGATCCTTTTGAATTTTCCAGTCGTCGGGCTTCCCTCCCGTTAGTTTCATTACTTTTTCGATATATCTCTGCGTGACTATTCAAGTGACAGAGCAAACGAAACAGCGAACAAGAAGTTTCGTTTCTTACGTCGCAAATAACGCTCCAAGTTACCGCCTGAGAATGGTCGTGATTACAGGTCCGACTTCAGTCTTTGTCGTTGATAAACTAATAATGGAACGCGGATGGATTTTCCGCGTGGCAAAAAGGCACCGCCATTAAGTCGCAGCTCGCTCGAGCAAAGGGTTACGCGGTGTCGTTTTTCCTCCGAGATAAAGCACGGCTCTCTGGGTCTCTCCACGCGGTTTTTATCGCCGATCTGCCGGTGATACGGCATTCGAAGGGATTTATTCGCCAGTTCTTTCGCCGGGATTTCGAAAGCTTAGAGCACCAGAGGGTTAATTGATTTCGCAGGTTAATTCGGTCAGCCCTCGTCCGTCTCTTGTGTTTCTCTTATAAAACGTTATTAAATTACTTTGCTGCGCGTGACATCTATTTGTCTAAAAAAAATATGCTATACCAGAGAATTGCAAATAATATATTTCCTTCTGGTAACACCTTTTAACGCACGTTTACACTGATTCTTTTAAATAATTACTGCAAGTATCTTTTAATTTTATGTATTAAAATATCGTCGGAAAAATAGAATGGAAAATGCCGTGAACATATAAATGCGTATCGAATATAATTTTCTAACTATAAACTTGTATAAAAGAAATTGTAAGAACATTTTTCGATCGTTCAACGGGATTAATAAGAAATTTCGATAATTTTGGTATAAAATCTTTTTAAACACCGATTGTACGACAAAACATTGGAAAAATGACACGTTGTCACGAGCAGCAGTCTGATATCAATTCTTTTAGCATTGTGTCAATTCGACGCCGAGGAATAAATTAACAGAGAAAGAGAGAGAGAGAGAGTCTATCTCGCGAATCAAACTCGCGAAATCGGTCAGCTTCGCAGGGACCAGCGACGAGTAACGCTGTGTACACGACAATCAGCCGCGGAGACTCGTTGCACCAGCTGACTAATTGATTAATTAGTTCATTAATTCGCTTACATATTCCTTTGAAAGGCTGGCAGCGGTGGCAAGTTGTCGGAAGCTCGGCCGCTTCTTGATTATCCGTACTCTAATTGCCGTTGCTTTCGGCAGCCAGGTGGATGGGGAAGTTTTTAATTAAAAGAGACACCGTCTCTTCGCATTCGGCAAAGCTCTTTTCGTTCAGCTTAACTCCCAACTTCTATGCACCGTGAAGCTTACCGCGTAGCTGGCCAAACGCAAATCTCTCCACGCTCTCTCTCTCTCTCTCTCTCTCTCATTTAATCAACGGGAAGAAAATATTTTCGGCTGATGACGATACGTGGTAGCATGGTAGCACTAAGAGAAGATATTTCCGTTCAGACAGAATTCAGACTTAAAATACGATCGATAATACGTGTCCAGATTCAGAAGCTTGCGCATCGCCGGTATATAAATACGTGGGAGAAATATTCACGCGCATTTGCAACACGCCGCATTTCTCCAGTGTTGTTCCAATATAAATACAAAAATCCATTACTACGTTTCTACGCGACGTGTATCGCAGCTTAACCCGCTTGCGCGGACCATAACGAGTGACCGAACCGCTTTCTGTTTCTTTCGAAACTGGTCGGTACGATATCACTGGATAGAAATGATTATAAGAAGCAATCGACTTGTCATTTGATTTTGCCTGGGTTACATTTAAATATACTTGAAATTCTCGACGTGCGTGGCACGTCATTCCAGCGCAAGAGGCTAAACGTGGAAATATCTAGGCCAAGAGGGATAAGAAATGCGGCCTGGCTAGCCGGAAGTAGTAGAGCGGAGTCCACTTGGAACGACCTGGCGAGGAACCCTTTGACGAGGAGCAGCCCCTCGATAATGCATAGCTAAATCTCGTATACAGCCCAAGTGCAGAACCGGGTTAAGTAGATCAGAGATTCCTGATAAAGTTCGGTAGTTCGAAGCCGGCCAACTACTCGACTCTTGGTAGAGAAGAGGGCGAGCGAGCGAGGAGTTCGAGTTCCCCTCTCCGAACTGGAACTTTGATTCTCCCTGTGGCCGGCAGCCGTTGCCGAAGCGTCCCGACGTTTGTTTTAAACGCACGGCTCGCGCAGTCACGAATTTCGAGAAGCAAGTTTCACCCGCCGAACAACCGTGGTTCAATGGGATCCTATCTGGAACAAAAGCGGGCCGGCGCTGGAATTCGATCGCCCTGTCCTTTTGTTATCGAGCTGATCGCTAAATACCGTAATCGGCACTCTCATACTAGCTCTTTCTCGTCTCTGTCTCGAATGGGCTCTGTCGCACGATTCGGTAAATCTCGCGCGAGTTTTCCCAGGTCCGTTCAGGACGACCGAGTGTTGCAACAACTTGATAATGGGAACGATTTTTAATATTTTTTATATTTTGGAACGTGTCTGCGTTGTTCAAACTCTCTGCAAATTTATAGCGAGTGCTGGTTACTTTATGAAATTTAGGTAGAATCGCTCTGATCGCTCAGATGTTTCGCTTATTCGAATGTTCATCTACCTTCACCTTATTTCTTCTTCGTATTCGATCTTTTAGGACCTATGACCAAAATATTTTAAATAATTATTTAAAATATTATCCAAGATTAGAGATCAAAATTTCAGTTTCATTTCAAGTATATTTTACGTGTCCAGATACTTATAGACAACAGTATGTGTGTGTGTGTGTGTGTGTGTAGGTGAAAATTCAACGTGACGAGAATCGAAAGAAGGCCAGAGGGGCAATTTTAGGTGGAAAAAGTTTAGATGGACCGGGTCCATTCCGGAATGGTACTCAATGGATGGGTCCTTTTTTTTTCCGCGCTTACTCGTCGTAAGATGCAGCTCATCGATGCCAAGCAGAGGCGCGGATCCAAAAGAGATATAATAGTACCGTGGGGTGGCGGAGGGTGTACGTAGAACCGGTAGACAAGCGTGGGTGTAGGTGGACGGATAGAGAGCCGCTCGGGGTCAGAGATTTAAATTCCCTCGCTGCAATATCCGAGTCGTTTGATGTTCCTTCCAAAGGGCAGACTGTACGGAAGCCAACTTGGAAATGGCTTCTCGTGTACCGGACTGCTCTCTCTCTCTCTCTCTCTCTCTCTCTCTCTCTCTCTCTTTCGTCCCTCGTCCTGCCATCCCCCTTTCTACCGAATGGTCCCTCCAAAGTACACACGCCTGGGCAACGAGTATGATGTACAGCCAGCACGTAGAATAACTTTCATAGCTAGTATCACTATACCTACGTATGTGTGTGTGTATGTGTGTGTACACAGGGTGTCTCTGAAATTAAGGGATGATTCTATCTACTGGAAGGAATGATACGTTTTCATTCGAGACATCGAGTTCTCGAGTGAATCGAGTTTGGAAAATTGTCAACTATACTTGAATTTTGGTGACCGTAATAGGAGTGAGTAATCGATAGGATTTTATTCCGCAGGCGGAACTGCATCAACGATTCGTCGAGTAAAATTTTTTCCACAAATGAGAGAATCGGATTTTTAAATTAAAAATTAAATTTAGATTTTTAAATGAAAAAGTCTGTCAATGTTAGAAATATCAGAGTGATCAGAAAGATCAATTTGTTGTTGCAGTGTATTTTTAAAGAGTTGTGTGTGATTCCTTCTTACAGTAAATTCCTCCTTACACTAAGAGTAAAAGCTTGCGTTCTTTGGTGTATCACAAATTTCCTTATTACTTACTAACTTTAGTTAGAATTAAAAACACAAAAGTCCAGGGATTAGGAGAAAGGTTTGCAATAAAATGCATTTATTTGTTTCTTCGAAATCTGTGAAATATCTACAAAGAATTCTGCTAATAAATCTGACAGTTCTGACATTGAATAAAAAAACAGATATTGTCCCTTCTTTTCCACTTGTAGTTACCAAAGCTGTACCAAAACTTCAAACACACCCTGTACATGCGAATGCATACCGAGAGTACACGGGCACCGTGTATACCTACGAAATGGTCGAGCGACGTGGAACATATTCGTCTAGGCCCTCGCGGAGAGACCCTTTAAAAGCCTTTCCCTCGAACCCGAGGCCGCGCGACCATTCGCGAAAACTTTTCTGACAGCCGGCGCGCTTCTCGCTTGGGAGCAAACAAAAGCTTCCAACGAGGAACGAGAGATCGGCCCTTTCCTAAATCGGCCGACGGGCTGGGCCGACATTCTCAAATGGAGTTGGCGAACGCTTTAACAAGGTCCGGGAGGAGACGAGTGAGGTCTGGGACCGAGGACGGGTGACGAGGAGAGAGAGGAAAGGGCAAAGGCTTCGGCTTTAATCGAATTCGTTTTCCTCGCAGAACTGGGAGGTGATGAACACCGCGGTGTTGACGGGTCGTCAAGTGTCCCAGGGGATGAAGGTGTTTATCGTGAGCCAGGCTGGAACCGTGGCCGACGTTACGTTGCAGTCCTCCTGTCACTCGGAGGACGAGAGCGTGCTCAAGGTGCGTGGCTTTCCAGCTTGCAACGTCCGCTCGAACAGAAGCGACGGGATCGCCTCTGACACACGTCACGGTTACGTGTTATGTTTTCAGGTGTCGTCCTCGTGTAGCAGCGTGTACGTGGATGGCACGGAGATACGGGGCTCGAGCAACGCGTCGGTTCTCGTTAAGTACGGCACTTACACCGGGCTGGCTAAATTCACCGTTTGGATGCCGGAATTCCCGCTGGAGATGACCGTGGCGGACACCAGATTGAGTCAGATTAAAGGCTGGAAGGTGCCCGAGGAGCACGCCGTCGGTACGAAGAGCAAACGCAGCTTGAACGCCACGAACTCGCGGCAGAACGACTCGAGGACCAGCAAGAGAAGCGCCACCGAATTGGAGGACACCTCGATGGACATCGAGGACACGGACGTGATCCTCGAGGAGGACGAACAAGAGGAAAGGTTTCGAGGGAACGATGGGAACGGATGGGATGCGATCAATTCCATAGACAGAGGGCCCTCTACCAACTGTAGACTCCGGTTCCAACAGAGCCCGATCGAAGTACACGCGAGATTTTTGGCCACCGATCACGATTCCGGAAGGGTGTCCTATTTCGTGAACCGTCGTACTTGGTTGCGCGTGACGGACCTGGTGAACGGGATGCTTCGCGTGTCCGACCCGAGAATCGCTGACTTGCTGCAAGGGAGGATTGTTCAAGGTCGCGGAGTAGGTAGAACGGAAGTGCAGGTTCTTTCGCCGATTACGAGCAAAGTAATCGGCGCGAAGGAGGTGCGAGTGGTTAACGATCGAGTGGCGGTCACCAGGCTGTCGGTTAGAGTGGTGTCTGGTTTACAGCTCACTATCAGTCCGGACACAGCTATAGAGAACGGATATGTTGCAGAGACGTCGGTCACGAGGAAACTCACTGCTCAATATCAGGTGAGGTGCAGGGTCTCTTTAATTAATGAGAAACAATTAGAAACGACTGATATCTGTGCGCTTCACTTTGTATTTGACGAGTGTTTTGGATTCTCCGAGGGAAGATTTATTAATCTTTGAGAATACATTCATCTTTAAATATATATATATATATACCTTTCGATATATTTGTTTTAACACGTGTTATCCTCTAATTTCTATCAAGTAAATTTATTTACAATTTCAAATGGGAACTAAACGAGGGTTAATATATCTTTATGAGAATTTATCGTTTTGCTAATACAACTGAAGAAAAAAAGAGACCAAAACAGGAATGCATTTGATTCACCGAAGATTTATTTGAAGAGCAAGCTTTTATTTCATATATTTTTACAATGCAGACACATTTACACCATTTGATAATCATCGAGATATTTCGGCTGTTAGGTAGCAAGTTACATAAAATGTGTGAAACGCCAACTTTCGAATTTTAAGGTAATTTGATTAATTTTTCGCGCATTCGCGCGGAACGCAGGAGGGCTTGCTAGACATAGACATGGAATTTTCGGACGGTACGAGGACACCGCTGCGAGAAATCGCTGTGAACGACTACCATTTGTTAGTGGAGAGCCTGGACCCGGAGGTGGTGGCGTTTGCGCCGATGGTCGCCTCTCATCATCCTCGAGTGATCGCGGTCGGCGAGGGACGAGGCGATTTGTTACGAGTCAGCCTTCAATTGGCTGACGCCTGTCGCCTAACCGGCAGGAGGTCTGGGAAAGGATCGCAAAGAACGACCGCCGCAGCCCTGGCCAGCGCCTCGGCCAACGTCGAGGTGGACTTTGCCTCGAGCGATCTTCCAAATCGACCGGAGTTCGTGCAGAACGACGGGGGCGGTACGGTCGGTTCTCATCATCACAGGGAAAGGAAGACTAGCAGGGGAGAAATGTCGCCCGACTTGCGCGATATTCTCATCGGTAAATAGATCCAGTTCTCCTCCGACGTTATACATATCTCTCGCACTATTTTCGTTTCGGTGAATGCCACTGCGTATATTTTGGTAGCGCTTTACACTACCCTGTAAAACTACTTCCATTTCCCTTCGATTTCACTGTCGCCGTCGATATGGAGATCTTGCGTAAATTGGATTATCTATCCGGATCGTTCAACCAGTTCGTGCGATCGTTTGTTTATCGCGGTGAGTTTGAATCCTCTCAGGATCAAGGGAAGTAATTTTCTACCCTGTCGATTTTGCGATGCAACCATATTTTTTTCTCTCTTTTTTTTTTCCCCCCGCCGGGCCGGTAGGTGAAATTGTTTTATTAAAGGCAACGATACATTTATTTATAAACTATCACGCCAACTGCGCGCAATATAATCACACGTTGCTCCGAATAACCAGAAAAATCGATTACACGAATTTATTGGACGACCTATATACCGCCGCATACATATATCTCGCTTCCCATTGCCTTTCGTTTCTTCTCTTTAAATCTCCGTTGCTCGTGATTCTGCCATCGCTTAAAATCCTCTCCGTCGCTTGATCCTTAATCACTTGGCGAACTGATGGGTCCACAGACTGTAACGGACGAGAATCCCTCGGCCTGTCAGCTTCGACAGTCGCTTCTCTCTCTCTCTCTCTTTTTCTATTTCCTTCTGCCCTTCTGTGCATGACGCGAAGCGTTTCGGTGTCGCTTCTCTGCAGGCAGCTGGTGTCGGTGCGGGAGGATTACGCAGCTTGCCGGAAGCTGCCGCGGTGTCTACTTGCAGTACGCGTTTCTCACTCTTCTCCTCTCTCTTTCTGTCTCTTTGTTTTTTGTGCAAAGGGCTACCGCTGAAAGACGAGAACGGGCACGAGCACGAGCACAAGCACGAGCACGAACCTTTGGTGCAGGCACGGCAGCACCGCACGGCTATAGCTAATGGCATGTCTTCAGGAGGAATGGGCGGCGTCGGGATACGGCATCACGGTGGAGCGCGTATGAGCCCGCTCGAGATCGGCATGTACGTCCTTCTGGCGGCCTTCTGTTTCGCCATCGTCGTCTTCGTCGTCTCCTGCGTGGTGTACGCGAGCAAGTTCAAGCCACAGCCGCCTGACTCGCCGTTAGCCGGATCGGCGCTTCCGGTGCTGTCGGGCGCAGCCAGGGCCAGAGCAGCAGCCAACCAGCTTGCATCGGGCAGGAGACCTCCCAGAGAGTCGACCACGAACGCGCACGACTGGGTATGGCTGGGCAGAGCCACCCTCGAGAGAGCCGCTTGCGGACCGCAACAGGTACGGATCGTCGATTTCGAGCTAATTCCGGGCTTTTCTGATTTTCGTTCGCGACTCGGGCGACTGATTTTTCACAGACGGATTAATGGAGTTAACGTTTCGGAGCATTCATGCTAGCGTGAAAAACGTTTTACTTTTTTTTTTTTTTTTTTTTGATGTTTGAACCTGCATAGTGGAGCATTACTCGCGCCATCTTCAAATCGCGAAATTAAAGTGAGACTATTTCATTTTAACCACCGTTTAGCTGAAAATTCTTCGTTTGACATGAAACTGGATAGACATAGAATTATACGTTATAAAATCTAATAGAAAATAGAAAATTGTCGTGTTATTTTTTTCTTTTTCTTTTCACATTTGAAAAATGTTTGCGTTTAAATTGCGAATTGAGCTGTGATACACTATATACGTGTCGTTCGCGACTCAAGTAGTACACGCGCTCGTTTGGCCAGACGTGAACTTGCTAGATGCCGTGTGGAACTGCTTCGTGTAAATCTGTGTCGTTTCGAAACGCAGTGGTAAATTGCCACGACAACTCGTTTATTTGCCCTAAAGGCAATCGTGACTATGATCGTGACAGCATAATACATGAGCGACGTTAAATCAATATCGGCACGTATTTACATTTCTGCGTATCGTATTTTTAAAATACACACGACTCGGACGAGTGTATCAGGAAAAACATGAAACTTGGAAGTTTACACAAAAATTGTTTACCTTGTATTTTACTTTTTGTTGAAAGAAACAGAAGTTAAAAAAACAATGGTCGCATGTTGCTCTTTTTTTCTTTTTTAATTTTCCAGGCCATTGTTTTTACAAAATGGAGTTTTCAACGGAATAAAATAGAGAATCGAAAACAGCAATGAATAGTGTATTGGAACGAGTATTATTATTTCAGATAAAGATATTTCTGATGGAAAAAGGAATATGTTATTTCAAACGTGGGATGGTTTTATTTTATTATTATACAACAATGAATATAAACAATGAATTAAAATTGACAGGCGGATGGACGTTCGCTATCTTTTCTCGGCCCAACAGGTAGATGAATGAACTTTTGCCAGAAAATTTAGTTTTTTCTGATAAATATGCATTTTTATTTATTTTACACTGCCTGTCACGTTTAAATGTTACTCCTCTTAATTACCTAGAAAACAAAAATTGCGTACGTACAATTTGAACGATTTGAAAAACGTACAACTTTGACTTCACACTTCAATTATTCTTTCGGATAACAAAACTTTAAATTTCATATAAATACTAATATTAATTGAAAGATATTAGTTCTCTCTGCGTAACGTATAAAATTCATTTCGACTCTGGTATATTGAGTAATTTTCACGTGTATTGTCCTCGTTATTTTTAATTATATCTTTTAAGTAGCTGACAAATGGCATTACGATGAATAAGAATCGTCGTGATTCGTAAAAATTCTGCGAATATACGTCGACGCTGATTTTAACCATTTCACGAAAATTCTTGTCTAAATGTCTCGTAAAGGTTCCTGCGAATCGTTCGTCTAACATCGTTCTGTACCGTGCAATTATGTGGGCGATGATCCTTGAGTTTCGTAACTAGACCAAACTAAATTGAGAATTCATGTCTCAGGTAAGAGTGACTAGCAACCCTCTGGCTGGCGAGAACGAGGGAGAAGCAGCCGAGCTGGCAACTTGCTTCGACAATCCGAACCATATCGAGCTACCATCGGCTGGACAACGTAGCAATGGATCCGGGCCAATAGATACGACGACTTATTGCAAGAGAGACAAGCTTCCGCGGAACAGTTTCGCGACCAAGCCGGTATCGAAACCATCGACCATGGTGTCGGCAACTACAATCGCCACTCCAGCATCCATGGCTACGTCCACCGTTCCTTCGACGCGAAACGAGTAATTATTGTTTCATTTCGCCTTTCAATTATCGGTACTTCATCCCTGCTGTTCTCCTCGCGTCCTGCGCGATATGATATATTATATTTATAGTTATTAAGACAGAGGAGACTCCGTGTAATATCGGCCACTCCAGGGGCTCTTTCGCTTCGTAATTTGCATTAACTGCGATAAAAATGAAATTTGAAGAGGTTGATTTACAGTATAAATGGATCTTGATAGACGGAGGGAAATTGCTTTCCTATCGGCCAGGGGCGAGAAGTAACTTTAATAAACGAATGAATAGTCGGAAGGAAGAAAGTGCTTCCCAGGAGGGAAAAGTTATTTTTATTTTGATTACGATTTTATTTTAATTGCTGGACTTGTAATTTGATTTTAATTATTTGGCAATGTCTTAATTTCAATTTCTCGACGCAATTTTCACCAGTATATTTATTATTATCTTTAATTTTCAATTTCGATTTAAATCAAAGGAATAACCATGCACGTTATAATATTTTGTTTAAAACATTTCCGTACTTTCTTCATATCCGACGTTACCGATATTTTCATCATTTAGACATTAGTTTAGCGAAATTTCCCTTGAAATGGATGGAGAAAGATCATTTTCTAAGAAAATATTTCGCACACTTTTCACAAATAGTCTCTGTTTGTTGTAATGCGAGTTGAAAAGATATTTGAAAGAGTACAATGACGGGGAAACGGAGCAGAACAGGAAGGTTTGAATTCTAAAACCCTTTCGCCGCTATAAATATAATGTAACTCTTTCACCTTAACCCAGCAACGACGACATCCCGCCACCGTTACCACCGCACGGGATTCCTGTGAGTTCGGCGATGGCCTCGGCCACTGCAGCTGCCGCGACGACCAACAACAACGGCAACGAGGACTACAAACCGCCGGTGCCGCCTCACAGGAACACGGGGGTGATCGTACGACTGCCGGAAACACCCAGGAAACATCGTCACAGGGCCTCGAGCGGCAGCCACCACGGGAACAACCAACGTCACAGCAAGCAGATTCACCATATCAAACCGCACGGTAAAGCTAGAGTAGGTAGTCCGAAAGAAAACGACGCGGAGGACGAGGAGTTCGTGGAGCTAGTGAATCACGATGACAACAGGCATTCGAAGGACGGGAGAGCCAGAGAGGTGAAGAGGGCGACGATCGTCGGTAATCCAATGTTCTCGTCGTTCTCAACGAACGCGGTCGCCTCGTCGATGAACGTGTCCAGCCCGACCGTGGCCTCATCGTCCTCGTCACCGCCTAACTCGTCGCCGTCCTCCTCCGCCTCCTCCTCCTCCTCCTCGTCCTCAACGTCGTCCGCGTCCTCGTCCCACGAGCAAGAGGAGTCGGTGGCGCTGGACGACCTGAACCTGGGCATGGACTACAACCAGATCATGCAGTACTTCGACAACCTGAAGGAGTCGAACGCCTAGGTGATGGCGTTCGGCCTCGAAGAAGGCCGAGTAGTCAAGGTCGATGCGAAACCCCGGAAACCTCGTTGACCGGGCAAACGGCGTTACGGATACGAACGAAGCTTGGCCGTTGAACGTTTTCTCCGCTTCCTCCTCTCGCCACGTTAGCACGTTCGCAATGGAGAACCAACCTCGTTGGCCGAGCTCGACCGCCGTTCGAACGACCGTTCCGGAAGGTTTCGTATTCTATAGGCTATAATCTAGTCAGCTTCCTAGCAGCACATCAAGAGTATCGCGCAAAACGCAAATGGACACGAGACACACACACACACACACATACACACACGCACGCATACATACGAAACAAACGTACATATATACATACATACATGATCACACGCGTACAGGGAGGAAGACAGCCGCGACAAGGAGACACGCTAGCTATAAAAAGAGCGTGTTCCCGACACGAATCACATATCGCGCGTTCGAGTAATTCGTGCGTTCTCTGGTACGTAATAAATAATAATAATACCCGCGTACGTAATAAAAATTAACACGAATATTTCGTACATACGTATTTACGTATATTACACACACACGCAGAGGCTTCAAACGTGTGATCGCCGATGGCCGGGGCTAGGTAGATCGCGCGCCCGATTCGACCACTTTCGCTCTTCTCCATTTCCTCGATCGATCGAAACCTCAGCCGATCCTCCTCGCTTCAGCCTCCGTGCGCTATCGATCTCCTCGCTCAAGCCCTTTTCCTCACGGCAATCGAACGAGCTCGATTTTTCCACCCCTTTCCTCCCCTTTCTTTCTCTCTCTGTCTCTGTCTCTGTCTCTGTCTCTCTCTCTCGTTCCTGCCACGCGACAGGGCGGGCATTCACCAAAATGCGGCTGGACAAAAACCCGACTCCTCTTTTGTCTCGAGATCGATCCGCGGCCTCGACAGCGATGTTCGAACCGCCGCCGAATGGCGCTCGTCTCTTCTTTTTTTTTTTTTCGCGTCGTCTTTCCATTCTCTTTTGTGTGTTCATCCGTGTGCTCGATCCATCGTCGATTCCTAACGGAAAGATAAAGCTTCTCTCCGCTCTCGTGTCCTCTCCCCCCCCCCCCATCCCTTCAAGGTTTTCCCGTCGTTTCACCGAGTTTTATTTTTAAACAGTCGCTCGCGCCGAGTCTTCCCGACCGTAAATTCCAGTCGCGGCAACGAGCCGCGAAGATCGATATCGAGAGAAGCGACGTCGGGTACCAGGGCCATTTTGCTTTTTCTTTCCGATCTACGCCGCGGGGAGAACGATAATATTTATTCGATCGCTCGTAACATCAGAATGTTTGTAAATTTTGCTTTGTAAGACTGTGTACATATATATATTATATATATCGCGACCTAGCGCATGTTAATTATGAACTACAACTGATTGCAAATTTGTATGGCAAACTCCGTAGAAGCAAACTAACCGCGCATATCTAATCGCTCGATGGAGCCGAGCGAAAACGCGAGTAAGGGCCGCGTGCACCTTTCGATCTTTCGGCGTTTCCCCTCTCTTCTTGAGCCTCATCGTTTTGTACGAATCTCGTCGCGAATCGCTCTTCACGTTCCTCGTACGAACTTATTTACCGTTCGTATCTCGACCTGACATATTCCACGCGCATACATGGAGATTTGTCTGAGAACAAACTGAGGAGAATTTCGTCGTGTTAGAACGAAACAGGTCGTTGGGATACCTTGTTAACTCGTTAATCGGGGAGATCGAATGTAAACTCCGCTGAATGTAATTTTCCTAGCATTTCTGTTGTATAAATTGTATTTTAGTTATACTTGAAAATCATATTTTATAAAGATGTATCGTCATTGAGTGATTAGTCAATTTTTAATGGACTTCTTTTAGCTCAAAAATCGAACAACGTACCGTAATACAACAGAGTTTCGCGATTATTCCTTTATGAAATCTCTACTACGGGAATATAAATTATCATTTCCTTTTTTCCGTGATCTTTATTCAAGGAATGAAGTCGATTTAATTTTGCTCCGTTTCTCCGACCGCATCGTATTTTTCTTCCAACGGGACGAGTCCTCTTTGCATTTCCTGCAAATCTAAATTTCTTTTCCTTTTCTTTTCTTTTCTTTTTTTTTTTTTTTTTTTCAAATTGCTCGTCGAAACAAGAGCAAGATCACAATGTAAAAGTCAGTTAATTTCTCTTTATTAATTCCTAATTCTGTAATCGCGACACAGCGTACAGTTAGAGTCAGAGGATGGCCTGGTTAACGAGTCAAGGAGGGCGGGAGATTATCGGAAGATCTGCAAGCTGCAAAATGGGAAACGCTAATCTCCTAAACGAGTTCGCGCCGGCCCGAGACGCTGCTCCGATATCGCTTTTAATTACTATTCGCCCCTCTCTCCCATCGATTGGATTCCGCAATTGTCCCCGTACGTGCCACCGGTCGCGAGTGCACGTTTTAAACGCGTCGCGAGTCGGTGCACGTGCTTCCTCGCGTGAATGCAAGCGCAATCGCATCTGTGCCATCGTTAGTTACATCGTAGATGTAATCGTCCTCGTTCATGTTCGTCTATACATACATATATACATATACACTTGTACACCCAGAGAGAAAGAGAGACTGGAATGGAATAAGTCCACGTGAGAGAGAAAGAGAGAGAGAACGAATGAATGGATTAGAGAGATATGCAAACTACACGCACACCTTATAGCTTTCGTTCTTCCGCACCGATTTGATTTCCTCTTGTGAATCCAATCGCACGCCTCCTTCCTCCCTGCCATCGTGAACAGTTATTCGACAGGCTAACCCGTACTCCAAATTTTTTTCTAAAGTCATTTACGAGTTCTTTTCTTTCTTTTTCAGGAAGAAAGAGTTTCTCTGTTCTTTACACTTCTTTGAATTCGTTTCACTACCTATATCGTATACCATTTAAACCAGGTATTTTGAATTCTGTTGTATTGAAATTCACTACATACATCTTTGGTATTTTTACCCGTCACAGGCAATTATTTATTTCAATTACATAAATAACTCCAGCACGAAGATTGGAAAATTTAGAGAAAGATTGTTCTTCTTACGTGTAATATGAAATTTGAATCTGTGTATTCTCTCTGTTGGTTTCTTCAGCGTGGGCCTGTTTATATACAAGAACGATCGTATCTTGAGACGATCAGCGAAGGTGCGCAGGAATCGTAACAATCCGATCTATAAATCCACGCGATGCCTAAAGGATCGCTCTATCTTATATAGGCATTTAAGGACTATGTGTTTAAGTATGTATGTATCTGTAAGTTGTGTGTTAGCATGTCAAGCGTGAGATATAGTGATGTAATGCCGATGAACACTTAAAAAAGAAAAAAAAGAAAAAGAGAGAAAGAGAAAAGACGCCCGAGTCGGCGTTTAGAGCACGCGAAGGCACGTCAACCCTTTGCGAAGAAGTGATTTTTCTTTTTTTATTTATTTATTTTGTTAATGATATTTCCTTTATCGAAGACTCTGATCTTTTTAAATTGAAACATTTGTCGATTAGAAATATAACGTACTTTCCATTTCGTACTAACATTCCTTCATTTCCTTAAATCGAACGTCGCGGACGAATGTTCTCACCCTCAACGCTAGAGCTACCAAAGTGATCGAGATAAAAAAAAAAACGACTTAAATAATAAATTCACAACGATGCGACTTTTCTACGTTTGATTGACTTTTTGATTGATGCAAGTTTTATAAACTGTAGTCGCCGGTAGTTCCAGCGCCGAAGGAGACAGCAAAGGGTTAAAGGGCAGCCGCAGACAACGTAAGATACCCCGCCGAGAATCTAGTCTTATAGCGTAACTGATGCATTAATTATTAAATACTAATGAACGCGAAGCGCGATCTACATTGCCTTTCGCCTGACTATTACTATACGTATCCTCGAATCGTCTGGCGGGGTGAAGTGGCGGTCGTTTTCGCAGCTCTGCCCGCGGCCATCGTTTCCCTTTTCCCTCGAGGAGCAATCGAGAGACGACTCCTCGCGCCATCGAGACAGCGGGACGTTAAAACGAATCAATCATATCGAGTACCGTGAGAAGTGAGACAACAAGCGCTAATTTACTCTTAAAATTAGAACGTACGCCAGGGAATCTCGTCCTTCGGACGAGACGAGCACGGGAAGAAAGAAAAAAAGAAAGAAAGAAAAACATCAATCCCCCCGTAGGACGAGGAATCCCGCGCAGAGCCGGAAAAAAATAGTATTTACGATAGAAAATAGTGGAGTGCTTGCGAAGCTGTTTCGCGCGAAACGAAAAGCTGTTGGATGTTTCGCTTTCTGCGATGTTTAAAAAAGAAAAAGACAAAAAAACTAAAAAATAAATAAATAAACAAGCGAAACCGCCCCCAATTCGCCGTTACACTATCAACGTACAAACGATCTTACAGTTACTATTTTTTACTTAGAATACTATTTCCTCCAGCTCTGGCTACGGCCAAAAACACACTGTATATATATATATGCATTTCGTTTGATTTCTCGTTCGAAATTCAGCGAGATTGCAAGGAGGAACGACATAATTCCTGTTCCTTGATAACACTCGCTTTCGGTAAATTCATCTCTGCTTCGTTCGATCATTTGTTAATAGCCTTCACTTCGGTGATCTAACTACGATCCGCAAAATGAAATTGCCGAGTCTTTTCGAAGCACGATGCAACTCATAGCGCCGAATTTTATAATATTTACACGATAACTCTCTCGAGGAGCTTTGTTTCAATGCAAGATGAAATTCGCTGGATCCTCGAGTTCACTCTCGCTCACGGGAGGGGGTGGGGGGGGGGGGGGGGGGGCACCCACTGTTTGAGTCGAAACTGCCGGTCTCTCTTTTCTCCTTTTTTTATTTTTGATAAGTTCCCACCGATCAGGGAGGATTATATTATAAATATATAAATATATATATATAAAAATATATATATATATATATATATATATATATATATATACGTATATTGTAATAGAATATCGTCGCAATGCTGAATTCTGCATTCACACACATTCCTCAAGACACGATGTCGCTGTATCTACGTTAAGTGTGATAAATGCGGATAAAATAGATAAACGATTGACGAGGCGTCGACGGCAACGACGACGACGGCGACGGCGACAAAAGCACGACGAGGACGGCGATGACGACCGCGTCCACGACGACGATGGCAATAATCGACGATGCTCTCGCGTATCACTTGCCCTCTTGCAAACGCTCTGTGCATATCTATTTATCGTTCTTCTCCAGCTGAAAATGAGTCTCAGATTTCTCGTGAATAACCGAAACGCTTGAGAACCCTGATTCACTCTGTACTTATCGATTAGTCCTGTATATTTATTGTATTGCGAAGGAAAAGATGATGATTATCCTTAGTCTATCACACGATCATAATCATCGTTGCTGTTATTGTTATTGTTATTGAGATTGTTGTTGTTGCTGCTGCTGTTGTTATCGCTGTTTTCGACACTGTTTTACCCTGATCGTTTGGGGTTGCCGTCGTGGTGGACGTCGCCATCGCCATCGGCATCGGCGTAACCGATACGCTAATTAAACAATAAGATACGACTATCGCCTACTCAATGTACAATATGTAGTATTTACCTGTTGTTACCACCAAACCGTCATCAAAGATATATAAAATATTGTAATTGTAACAGATCGCCGTTGCTATAATTCTTCTCCAACTCCATTCTCCATTGGACTCCATTAACGAACGAATCACAGAAGGTATTACAGTCATTGATAAATAATAATTTGATAATAATTTGTACATTATGATTTTTATTTGTTCATATACATAGCTATGAATGATTTTATTGCCATGATCGAGCAAATAGTAATCCTATAAATTTGAGGTACTGATGTGCTACTTGTATTATATTGCAATGAAAATTGAGTACTTGAGACTGATAAATGGATATGAGAATTATATGTAGAAATCAGACTGACGTTTAATTGTTTTAAGCAGTATATACATTTTAAATTAAAGATATTCATTAAACCATCTCCTGTCATATTTTGAAATCCATTTGTGGCAGCCAAGCATGTTGTTCTGAATGATATATTTCCAAGTCCATGGGTTTAGATTTGTCTCCTCCATTATTTTCTTCTTCTCTGCCATTTCATCCATCATTTCTTGACTAACTGCCATAGCGTGGCAAGGCAGCCTTTTCGCAATATTTATTAATATAGGTTTCACCTTAAAAAAAATTATGCGTAATATCGCATGTTAGAATACTAATGATCGATAACAAATCAAGAGGTTACAATAAAATTTCTTCAATACCTCGAAATATTCTATGGTACCGCCGACTTCTACGATAATTTGTCCTGCTTTTACTGGAGTAACATAATGATCTATGGATCCTTTTCCAGAACCCATTCGCATTCCTTGAGTCTTATATTATATTAAACATAAATTACAATTCCAATCTTATATTAAACACAAATTATAATTGACAATTTCGAATATTACTTCACATCAATTACCTTTTTAGTGATAGGTTGCCAAGGTGTAGGTATTCTCCAAATTGCAAATACTTTAGTATAGTCTACATTTTTCAAAATTGTCATACGGATCATTTCGAAATTCTGGTATCTGAATCTGCCACCACTTGTCGCCTGAAAAATTTACTTTCAGATATTTTGCTAAATCAATATGGAGAATTTTTTAATTTTATTATTTATTCCCTTACTACTATGCCATATTGTTTATGTAAAAGGGTATTATGATATTCTTCTGGACCACGCATTAATCTCAATTTCTTTTGCATTCGATAAGATCCTACTTGAGGTGGAAGTATAGGCACTCTTGGCACAACTCTGAGCTTGTTACGATTAGGGTATTCAATATCTGCAAACAATAGTTAATTGTCAATAATATATATGTTCTTTGTTCTATTTTATATCAAGCTATTAATTTCAAGTACAACCTAACTTTGTGGGTGCTGAGAAAGACTTTACTCCAGCTACTGGTACTGATTTAAATACAGAACATGCTGTAACATAATGCAAATTACTAAAAATGAAAGATTTTTAAAAGACAACAATCGTTATGAAACTTACATGACAACAACGATTTCGAGATATTTCTATACAGCTGCATTTTTACAGTAACTTTCTGAATCTTATGCTGTTAAAAATATGTAGCAATATTATTTTTTAAATGCTGTCGCTTTCTAACCTTTTTAACCTCAAATCTGTACTGAATTTCAAATATTTTTTTAAAATATAGAGATAATACTTAATTTCAAAATGTTTAAAATAACAATATTTTCAACTTCTTTGGTACATCTCTATTATAATGCATTTATAATAATATTAAATGCAAATACATAAATACATTTGTTGCACAACATTGCCTTTCTTTTTTTGGAATAAACCATTTGCTGCTATCTATCGATCATATTTTATATTATTTGGTTGAACAAGTATGTGCTGCCATCTATCAAATTTTTAATGCTATTATCTTTCAAATCCACAGTTTTGGCGCGACTTATCTAGAAAATAATGAAATGTTCCTAGACAGAAGTTACTTTATACGCTATGTAGACGTCGTTCTATCATTTTTGTAACGAAAGACTGTTGATTTTTGGTTGTAACAGCTGATTCGAATTAGTGTGTCAAAATATTCTAAAGAACTGTGTTTCCTCAGACGTATTTGACTCTGAGTGACTTAGAAATTGTAAAAGGGCCAACATTGAGCAAAGACATGTATCATCTACATGAAAATATTCAAAGGAATGTCGCTTTTTGGCGAATCGTCTTGTATTGCGTACGCTTTAGAGTTTGTTTTTTTGTTATGTCGTATCTGTGAACTGTGTACAATAAATAGTAATTGACAATGGCAGATAACGAAAAAATTTTTGCTTGCTCCTCAACTGGTTGCAACATGGTAAATATGTAGCCTCATTATGTTAAAAATGATGAACATTTTGTTTTGATGTACCATCCTGTGAATTCTTAAGTTGTCCTTTTGACTGAAAAAGAAGGAAAATATGAATTTGTACAATTGTTCGAATATGTTATTTAAATATTTTTCACTTATCTTGCAGATTTTCACGAATGAGGACCAGTTATCGATTCATAAGAAGAAACATGATATGATGTTAAATCTTGGAAACAGCTCCAAGAATGGCAGTTTCGTTGGTAAGTGGCAGAAGCTTTCATCTTTGGATTATATTTCAAACATAGAGACAAATGAAAAGGAGATACTTGTACATTTCACAGCGGATCAAACACCTACCCCGACGCGTTTCATTAGAAACTGTGAAGAAGTTGGCCTGTTTCAAGACTTGCAAAATGTAAATCCTTTTGAAGAAACTTTTAGGAGGGCAGTAGAGTCAGGGAACACTGGTACATTGACAGTGCCAGAGGTAAATAATGGAATTAACATAAATGTCCATCTAATTGACCTATCATATAAGTATCTCCCCAGGCTGGAATTACAGATGATACTCTGCATACACCGCATATATTTCCCCACATAGCTGACGTACTATCTACTAGCAATCAAATGTTGTCAGAAAATTCTGTGCAAGAGTGTGCCAGTATATCGATCGCTGAAAAAAGCACGGAGGAAAAGAATACTATTGATGCTGACGTTTGCAGTACTGTGAAACTCGCTGAAACGGACGAACAAACCTTAATGAAGAAGAAGTTAACTATTGAACGAAACGTAACGTTAACAGAAAATATCATTGATCAAGTGACACACACGTCGATAATGCCGAAGGTTTTACAACAGTCTAGCCCGCAATTGTAAGTGTTTAATTTTCATTTCGTTAAAAAAATCTAACATTCCTGAACAAATGAGCGAAGAATAAATTCTTGTGAAGATCGATTAATGGCGAGGAGGTACAACTGTTACTAAAAACGGCCGATGGGAAATTAATGCAACTGTCGGCAATTCCGGTTTGCGATTCTGTTGATGCGACGAATGTGCAATCGTTGAAACAACAAACGGTTGTCATAAGAACAGAACCTCTTTTGCATTGTAGCACGAGATTGGAGACCAAGAAACCAACAGTTTCGACGCTATCGCTAGCAAAAATGGTATCTCGCTGTATAATTTCGAATATATTTGAATGTAATAATTATCTCCTTTCGGGAAATTAATATTCTTGTATAATATTATACAGAAATTAAAACAAACACTGACGAAAGGTACCAGCTCACAAAGTCAGAAATCCAATAGCAATTCCCGGAAAGATGAGTTAAATAGTTCCAGAAAGGAGAATAGAAACAAAACGGTAGAGGATCAATTGAAAAAGAAAGAAATTCTCGAACGGAATCGTGCCAGCTCGATGAGAGCAAGAGCCAAGAGAAAAGCGTGGATACAACAGCTGGAAAGAACGGTTGCTAATGTGAATGAGACCAACGTGGCTCTGCAAATGGAAATCAAGGTTTTGCGAACGGAGGTTGCTAAGTTAAAGACGCTTCTGTTGGCTCACAAAGACTGTCCCGTCACGAAGGCGATGCAAACAGGTAGAAACGATTATTCTCAATTTAAATTTTATTCTTTATTTTATTTCTTTATACATCGTTTACAGGAAACGGTATAGTACTTGGTCCAAAAATAATATCCGTAAATTCAGACACTATAACGAATCCAATTCCAATGACGTCTCCGATAAAAAGGACTTTTTCTTCCACGGACTTACCTATTATGCCAAAGAAAAAATTATGTCTGGCAGCCTCGAAGAATCCCATAATCTTCCCGAAGGTAGATTGCAATACGAATCTATCGATGCCTAACACTGCATTAATAAAAACAGTACCTACTTTAAAAATTATGAGCGTCGGGCAACTATTAGCAGAGGAGGAGCAGAAACAAATTTTTATCGTGCAGAATCCTTCAAAAAAGGTAGAGAATCCAACTAGACAAATAATTCAAATTAACCCGAATTACGAGATTGATCAGAACGCGTCAAAAATTAATGAAACGTGAATTTGCTCAAAGATATAAAGATAAAAAAAAAAAGGTTAAAGTCATATTAAATTTCCATGAGAAAATGACGTTTGGTATTACAAGCGTGATTAAGCCACGATTATTTCAAAACTTGCGCATTTTGGTTAGGAGTTCGGGCGGGCTTTGCGTTACACAGAATACATGATCATACAATGATTATACATTTCTTTCTATTTTACTCTTTACAATGGGTTTCAGTATGAACCAATTTAGGTTCAAATCAGCAAATGAGAACGATAAAAATGAACATGAGAAGTTTTGTCTATTGTTTTATAACAAATTGAAGAGCGTTGTTTCGAAATTTATTTATTTTCACACAGTATTGTTTACGTGTGTATCTGAATCGTATATCGTTTATTTATTATAATAAATCAAATATTTGCTGGCAATGTTTTTTAACTGCTTTATTTTATATGGTTACACGATTAATAAATTATACAGCCATGTTAGGAAAAAAGGAAAACATGTGTATCTATGATATTTATTATCCACATACATATAAAAGATCTGATATGTATATTGTACAATACCATTTTTGATATAACTTAAACATTCAATCGTTCAAATAATTATTCGTGTCACATTACATGGTGTCTTTTAATGTTAAAAACCTCGAAATTTTAGAATCACTCAGGGCACACATACAATCAATTGTACATCAATTAGAAATTATAGAAAATTTCAATTATAAAGTCTTCCCGTCGAATGAGTTTCTTTCCAGTCCAACATTATATGCTGTAAGAGATCTCACGATGATTCTGTGACCCTCGGGCCCTTATCAGTTCTCCGTCCAGTCGTCTAACAATTCTACACCGGACAGGAGAATGATAAGGGGCTTTGGGCACGAAACGCCTCGACGAGGCTACCCAAAAACCTCCTTTGCCGTTTGGTATTCAATCTTCACGTGATTTCCTGCGGATTCTGAAAAGAAAGAATACCCTAATCTACCCCTCGAACATATCGGTTTTTCCCTAGTTACATAAGCACATGTGCATCTCTCTGTCTCTCTCTATATTTATACTTCCGATGAATGACAGGCATTGATAGAAATAAGTAATTACCGTCTCCTGCCATGCCTGAATGCATTTTATCGCGTGATTTTATCTAATCGCCAGTGAAATTTATGTTTATTCACCGATTATATACGTAGAACGTAGTGACACAGTTTGCAACCAATCTGGTATTTTGTCGGCGAGTTTGCCTCCTGTGTCCCTCTCTCTCTCTCGATGCTGCTACGCGAGACACGCCAAACCACGATGAAAAAGGTCTGTGCTTTTTCGGCAAACAAGATTTCCGTCCCTTGAGTCACACGGATGACTCACGCGGCCAGAACACAACGGACCAAGTGAGATGTAACTGAATTATCGGTTACTCGGTAAATACCAACGGCTTTTCTACGTCGATAAGCCCGTTCGATAACTGTGCCGAGTTAGGTAAAACGTGTCCTTTCTTCGTACTCCGACGAGTATCTTATCGCTCATGAAAAAGCCGCAGGGCGTTCTCTAGGTTGCATCTGAAGATGCACGGGGAAAGTAAATCGAGAGAGATCGTGGGACAAAACGCACGAAGGATTCGTGAATACCATTCGCGTAGGGAAAGGAAACGGATCTTGTTAATGCAATATCTTTGGATGTCTTGGAAAATTTGAAGAGGAGATTGAATTTAATTCTTAGGCTTCGTTCAGATCAGTCAAATTATTCGAGTTGAAGTTAATTTTATGATGTGAAACTTTCCCTTACTTTTATATGAAAAATTGAATAACAAACGCACACTGGCAAAATCAGAAACGTCATTTGAGATTAAATAAACCTCGTTAGGGGGGAGAATTCAAATAAGTCGACTGAGCTGGAATTTCTCTGGGAGGAAACACAAAATTACACCAAATACGTCCATAATTCGATTCATCTGAAAGCTTCGCTCAGATTGCTATTAGAGTGCTGTATCGTCGAAAGGAGAATTGAATTGAAATCGTTGGATTAGAAGAAAATCGTGCAAAGTACAAGCAATGCCCTTAATTCGATTGCAAGTACGAGAAAGTGTTCAGTTGCACGACCAAGAGACTTGAGGAGCCCCGTACGTACGTTGCTCGTTGCAATTCCAACTAGGCATGTCATTCTTAGAACCCTTGCCGCTTCTACGTTTTTCACTTCCAACTTGTGGACAGAAATAGATCACATTGCCCCTCGCGTGTTCTCACGTTTTACGGCCCTGAATCACAGCTCGCATGGCTATTATACAACACGCGCAATCTTCTAACCTTGGTCCAGGCTGACCAGTTTCTTTCGTTTTCGATATCCGCGGGGAATTTACACCGTGTGAATTTAAATCCGCGGAAAACGCGGCGTCACTGAACTTCTTTCTTCGAAATCTGAAAAAGATTCTTCGATATTTCGCTTTTCATCAAGTTCAGTTCTAGGCCTCTCTAGTTAGAGTGCATTGGTCTATAAAATATTTTCTAAATCAATAATTCCTCGATACTTTGACGCATTTCATTTTTCAGTTTTCATCTTTCCGCGATACATCGACGCTTTTCCCCCAATTCCTAGAAGTAAAGAAAGTATAGAGTTTCTTGTGTACCGTGATACACCCGTGTAAAGAGATTGCCCTTTATGGGGTTTCCAGCGATCAACGGCCTGTGGCTTAATTGATATCGATCTCATCGGCGTCGATTCGCAGCAGCAACAGTGAATTCAAAAAATCAGTAGTCAGACGCGAACGCGACCCATTTGTCTACTTCGCTCGGGCTTCAATTTTCTCGTTGACTTCGAACACTGCGTATTCTATCGTAGTCAACCTTCTCAGGGATATTGAAGCTTGCGTTAGCTTTCTTCCCGATTTTTTTGATACATCCTCTGACACATTTTCGATGTAATAATATTTCTTCTATGGTTAACGAATTCCTTAAAGTTTGAAAAAGCAAAATTTCGATTTTCTTGACGGGAGTTCTGTTTGTTAAAATAAGAACGTGATTCAGACATAAAAATTCGAAGACTATATCGGCGTATAACATTAGATCAATCGGCTTCTATACCAGATACAAATGATTATAATTAAAATAGTATGATGAAAATAAAATAGAAATATATGTGTCAGGTTCTGTTCTCGATAAAATTAATCTTGCTAATATATCATATAAATTATGACTGAAAGAATTTGATAGTTGTAGTATTAAGAATTGTGAATAAATATCCTTGATTCCATGAAACCCATTGAGGAGTAATCAATCTTAATTCCCAATAGCCGCAATTGTACATACATTATTCCTCTCAGAAGAATAAAAAACAAAAAAAGTATTTATCTTTTTGTAAGCTCTAATAAGTTCCTTGAACAGTTTAATCGGAAATATCCAAGGTTTCGGCAGGCGAATTCCGTTTTTCTAGATAAGCACGCGTTATCTATCTATTCACGCGATATAAGTATAACTTCTAAAGTCGCCTTGATACTTTAATCGTTCAAGAAAATTGTTTAGAGCGCAGATATATAGAAAACAGCAAGCAATCATGTTACATTTACGATATAAAAACAATGTTGCAACGTAATTTCATTATTAATTAAAAAAAAAAAAAAAAAAAAAAAAAATTTCAAAAAAAAAAAAAAATAAAAAAAAAAAAAAAAAAAAAAATTTCTAATGCAAGAAACTATGTCGACGCCAAAAATGCTAGTCGATTGAAAAATACTAAAATTATTTCTAAAATAATAAAAAATAAAATGTTCGTGATTTTAAATGCGGATGAACGTTTTGAAACTTTGCAGAAGATCTCGTAACGTTACAGAAACACGTGCGCCCGGAACATACACGTGGTTCCAAAGTTTATAAATCCATGAGAAGAATTTCCTTGACGAAACGTGCTATCTTCTTGAAATATACGAATAATTATCAACCGCAACGCGATTAAATAAAAATTCCATACACAAGATATTGCTACTAAATTTCGTGATAAACGAAACAAAATGTGTAAGGAGACGCGACACGCGTTCGTTTATTTTCTTTCGAGCTGATTTCTTTTTGGGAACGAACTGCTACGTAGAATTTCACGAACGAACGAACACTTCATTTGTTTCAGACTGCGTTCAACTATTCTCATCTCGTCGAAAACGAAATACCGTGCAAAGGGGAGATCGAAAAATTCAAAAAAAAAAAGTTTGATCGTCGTCCTCGATTTATCTCGTTCCGACGTAATTATGCTATCAAAGCAGTGAGCAAAGTAAAAATTCATTTTGTTGCAAAACGTGTGCTTTGATGCACGAGAACGACATTTGTCAATATATATACATAAAACCTATGCGAAAATAGGAACAGACTTACGTTATAGTACGTATTACAAACGTGACAATAATTTGACTTATCTTTTTTTTTTTTTTTTCCACAAAAACTCATGCTTTCTGGAATTCGATGAAGAACAGATTTCTGTCACTAGACGAAAGTTCCTCTATTGCAAGCCTCGCGTGTTAACTGTGCGAGCGTACGAGCGGAGCGGTGATAAGAGGATGCGCGCGCTTATGTCGGAGGATATCGGCGGAAATGAAATAAACGGCACGCAGGGAGACTCGCGCGTGATTTTACGCTCCTGGCTAGACAATATACGGTAGCCGATAGCCTTGAGACACACGTCCGCTTCCTTTTATTTTTACCCCCCCGAGACAACGGACACTCTTTCGGCAGCGAACTCTTTTCGCTGTTCTCTTTTTCCCTTCGGCGATCGTGCAACGATTCAAAACCCGCCACCACACTCGTAGTAGTATACGCGACCGATGCACATTTCACGTTGTCAGAAAACGACCGGCTAGTTCGCTGGCTCGCGCGCTACTGGCACCGCCACGCCACGCAACGACAAATCTCATTTTCTCGGCTAATGAACGAACGTACGCACCACCACGCGACCACCACACGCGCAAGGACAACGAGCAAGTTTTCTAACCTCTTCTCCTATCCCATGCAGACTGGTCTTTGACCGGTCACATGGCGCGAACCGTGGAGCGGCCGCGACCGATCGATCTGCGTCCAAAATACCCTTCTGCTCTGCTCTCCTATCTCTCTCTCTCTCTCCTGCTCGCTCGCTCACTCTCTGTTCCCTTTCTCTGTCGCTTGGCTGCTGGTTGGATCCTCGCTACACTTCCTCTTCGTCACAATGTACCACCCGGTATTTTCTCGTTTCACGTTTTCGTACGAAAACGCGCACGAGCAAATCACGCCGCATCTCTCTCGTTCTCGAGAATGAGCCAGACTCCGCGAGCTCGTAAGAAACCACGAGCACGGGAGAGCGCATCTCTTTTTCTCGCTTGCTGTGTTATGCGAAAGGGAGAGAGAGAGTGAGAGAGTGAGAGAGTGAGATACTTGAACGCAGCACAGAGAGAGCCAATCGTCGAGGACCCACGTAGTCGGATGCTGATGTAACGGAACCGGGGATTGGTCGC